TACTATTATTTTTGTAGCATTTTCTTGCATGGCTTGATCCTGTGCTGCTTTTAACTTGAACTGGTCCCCTCATCTGAACTTGTATATTTTCTTGTTTCAACATTTTAATTCATGTGCTTTTCTCTAATTACAATGATTTCACCCACATCTTCAGCTAAGAGGATCCTTAACAGCCTTCAAGGGCCTGCTCCTCAATTCTGGATCAGCCCTGTCACATGTGTATCTGCCGCTCACCTTCTGGAATTCTGCATGTGACTCTTAAAGGTGATCGCATGCCATCTTGCACGTGGCTGGCTGTGTCATGTATATTTTTTTCTGTTGAATTGAGATCTCTATAAGGGGTGAGGAGATTTGGTCATCTTCTTGCTTTACCTACAAGGCCCGGCACTACATGTAATGAGTGTCTAATTTGTTGACTGAATGCAGCCTTTTCCTTTTTGTTGTTAGTTCATTTGTTCATATTTTTTTATTTTACTTTATTTTATTTTTTATTTATGAGTGTATTGCCTGCATGTATGTGAGTGTACCCATGTCGTGTAGTGCCACGGAGGTCAGAAGAGGGCTTCAGATTCCCCTGGAACTAGAGTTAAGGACAGTTCGTAGCCACCATGTGGGTGTTGGGAATCCAACCCGGGTCCTCTACAAGAGGTGCTCTTAACCGCTGAGCCATCTCTCCAGCCCCCATTTGTTCATATTTTGAAGTGATATTTTGAAACAGATTAGGCTCACATGCAAAATACCCCATGGTAGTATTCTTTGTGTGGAACATTGCTCTCACCCAGAATAATTCATATATATATGAGTGAAATGAAAGGTTAAGAGTTAGAAGTGCATTTGATCTTTTCCTGACCCTCTCCTGACTTTTGTGTGACTTGAAGCATATCACTTGAACCTCTCAGTGACCCCAGCTGTGAAGCAGGGCTGCCTGGTGTCACAGAGGGACTGTGCAGAACAGCAAATCACAGTCCATGTCTGAGCAGAGTCACCTGCAAGGCTCTGACACTCACATAGAATGATGGGGGAATTTAATTTCCCAAGTCAGTGGTAAATTAGACCACACTTTGAATGTCTATAGGAATGGTAAAGTAGCAACCTACTCTGAACATTTCTAATTTTTAGACATTCTTAATTGAATCCTATTTTTTTTAGACAAACAGCACAGAGGTAGCACGAAATTATTGAAGATATTTTGAAAGGAGACTGAATTTTGGGAAAAATAAAAGTGCTCAGAATTTCTATTTTATACCATGGAATTTGTAAAATTTTCTGCTTCACAGAGCATATTTAGAAAATATTGCTAGCCATGTTAGAGAAAACTGTCTGATAAAGACCTGTGTACTTCATGGAACATATTTTAACTAGCATTTTGTTTGTTTGGTATAGGTAAGCAAGACAATTGCAAATAAGTAGGGCAGAAAACAAATAAGAATACTATTAGCGATCTTGCAAAGAGAACCTTTCTAAGCCATTAATGCCTCCTATAAAATCTTTGAAATAGTAATGCTTGGGGGAGTTAATAGATTTCCCAGTATTGTTTGTTTTCTGATTGGGAAAAGAGTCCATGGAACAGGATTTCTTAGCCATGTATATAGCATGTGCTGATTATCATTCTTGGACTGCTTTGGGTTTCTGCTGCTTTTAAAGCAGCATTTAAATGGACCATTTGATTAATCATTTGTATCCTGGCTGTAATCCTCCCAAATTTCCTTTCTGAGTTGTACATACTGTAAAAGACAATTATGTCGCCACAGATTAAATAAGTGAATTAAAACAGAATAGCAGCTTAATTTGACCTGTGATTTTGTTCTCCTTCCTTTAGTGGAGCATGTGCCACTCCAGCAAATAAATGAAGTCATCCATGACAGCTCGTGATGAATTGCCGTATTTATACTGTATATTTTAATAGCCTCGCACTAATTTAAATTGAGCACAGAGTAAATTATAATTCAGTCACTTGACTGCTTATATTTAACTTGACAACCCATCCTTATGTGTCCTGGAGGTGTAGCACAGAACAGGGGAAAGGCAGACAGGTACTTGAGTTCCTCCCTGAGCCCTTTTTCCAGGAACTGCCTCTGGCTCTGAGTCTCTTCAGTTTAAGGCACATAGAGCCCTTTCAGAAGAGGGGAAGAAAAAAACAACAACAAGGACTCAGGCAATCCACACTTTCCTTGAACTTTTCAAAGCGAAAATTAGCATTTGCACAGCTTTTCTTCCTTGCCTTCTGAGAGAGAAAGAAAAAAATGGTCTTGTTTATTTTTAGCAGTTTTAAAGCTCACTGGCAAAAATGCCCAGGGGAAGGGGAATTAACCTTCCATCCAGAGTACCAAACCTCTGAGAAAACAAGCTGTGAGTGGGGCTATGGTAAGGTGGGTTTTACTTTCCCTCTCAACTTTGCAGAAATTTTCTTTGCTTTTCCTTGGTTACAAAATTTCTACTGTCTGGACTCTAGCAACTCCCAAGAGAGAGCCCAACCCATCAGAGACCAGTGGATCAGCCCTACAAATACAGTATTCCTTGATCCAGTTTTGATCAGTGTGGCACTTTTGGTTTAGTGTTCTTACCTTTGGTTTTAAATATAGCTGCAGAAATCATACAATCCGTTTCCTTTGTCTAGAAACAGCCCATTTAGAGGATTGCTTGTAAGGAGCAATGTAAGGGGTGCTGAGGGATAGTCAGGTGCACAGACTTGCCTTGTCCATGAAGAGCTTACAGCAAGCCGCTCTGTATGCTCAGGCTGTTTTTGGGCAATGCCTGGTGATGCTAAAACACACTATGATAAAGACAAGTAAGTGTGAGGCCAGAGATGAATTATGCTAAAGGCTTTGGGGCGGGCCTCAGAAGGTGATGAGATACTCAAGTTGGATCTAAAAGGTCAAAGGGCCTTTTATAATCAGAGACTGGAGTGGAGAGAAGAAGCACACAGACCAGCAGGACCTAGCCTGGAGTGGGAGGAGGGGACAGAAGGTATGGGAAAGTCCTCTGGGTGGCCTGAAAGTGGGTTGTAGTAGGAAGCCTGTTGGAAGGAGTCAGATTACCACAGAACCTCTCAAATGTTCTAGACTTGTAGCTTTATTCTAGGCCACAGGAACTCAGTTAAGGTTCTTGATCAAGCGTCTGAGTAGTGTGGGATTAATTCCAAGGTTCTGACTAGCCATGTGCATTCTTGTTGTTTCTAGTCAATTTGCCTTGAGATGTATTTTATCTTAATTCTTAGCACTGCATAAATAACATTTTTGCAACCTTAAGAAAGTGGTTCCTAACCTTTTTGTGGATTAGAAAATCATTGGAGGAAATTTTTTTTTTAAATACTGAGATCGTAGGTCCATGTTGTTCTCAGGGAGGCCAGATCTGTTTACTGGGAGGTGTTTTTGTTTTTTTTGAGTGTTCTAGATCATTCTAAAGTGAGGCCAGGGTTCAGAACCACTCCTCTGAGGTCAGTAATAACTTCATTCATTTTAGGTTTTTCAGAGTAAATGATTCCCTGTGTTGGCAGAGAACTGAAACAGTAGATGAACTTATTTTGTTGCTAAATTTTATATAGGAGCAAAAACATAAGAGAATGTTGTTGGCAAATGACTATTGATCCAGAGGAGTGCTTAGCTGTTTCTTGGCAGTTTTGTGTTACACTTAGAATCTAGTGTAGTGAAAGATTTTATAAATAACCCTAAAGCTAACTCTTGATAGAAACTAGAGACACTTTTTCTTTCCTCTTTCCTCTTCCATTTAAATGGGTACCAGCTTTAAAAATGTGTGTTTTAAGCTGGGCATGGTGGTGCACACCTTCAGTCCCAGCATTTGGGGCACAGGTAGATCTCTGTGAGATTGAAGCCAACTTGGTCTACAAGGTGAGTTCCAGGCCAACTGAGGCTACAGGAAGACCCTGTCTCAAAAAAACATAAGTAAGTTTTAAAATAGTCATTTCTTTCACTGCAGTTTATATAATTCCTAATTTATGCTTTTCTCAACTAGAATTTATATTCATATGGTTCAGTGTTGGATGGCATATGGCTACTCTTATGGTAATCTACGTTTTTACCTAGATGTGTTTAGAGTCAAACTGTGCCACAATTCTTAAATTCTTTTCCACCTATTTTATTCCATCACTGACTTTTAAAAGTAAAAATATTTCTTTTGAGTTATTTTCTCTGAAGAGCTTAGTCAATTTTGAACAATTGATGAATCTTCTTTCTTACAAAATAAGTGACTGAGCTAGGGTATGACCCAGTGGTAGGGCATTTGACCAGCATTAGTGTGAGGCCCTGAGTTCAGTCTATGGTACACACGTGCACGTGAACCAAAGAAAAGAAAAAATTCATTTGAATTAAACTAGAACTTATTCTAGGTAAGTTTAATTCTCTGCATTTTTGACATTTCTGTTCTAAGTCCACCTCAGTGACTTTAAGGAAAACCATAAGGTATCAGGAAATCCTGGAAAAACGTGGGAGGTAGGTAATGTGAGGCGCCATCCAGCTCCCTTAGCCTACAGCAGCATTAGTAAAGAAACATTACCCACCTGGGAGAAAATAAAAAGATGATAGTTTTTTAAAACTCGTGTTTCTTTATTTACTAAAAAGCCCTTTTTCACTGTTATTTTTACTTCACATCCCCTCTGCTTTAAGATTCTTGCTGTGTCTGACTCATACAGCAGTTCTCTTTTAATCATCTGAGGCTCGTTCCTGCCTTCTTCTGAAAATAACCAAGGTGACCAAAATAGGGTGCATAAATTGAGAGTGTTATAACTTAACTGACTTTTACAGCCATTAATGCTGACCTCTGAGACCTGGCTTTTTTCAGGGTCCCATCAATCACTGTGCACCGCCTTCTCTACTACAAAGGCAGACAGACATGGAAACAGTTTGTGTTGCTGGGGATTGCAGTGCTGGGACGGGGAGAGGCTACAGAAAGGAGCCACCATGTTTTTTTAGTTCTTGTCTTTCATATGCTATTTCGTTTGAAGGTAGATGAATGTGTTAATGTTGGTGCTTTTCTGTATTTAGGTTATACTCTTAGATATTACATTGGAACTTCAGAAGCAAATTATGTCTGAGTTGGAAATTCTTTATAAGGTAATTTTTTCTTGGTCACTTTTGCCTATAAACATGCACTCAGTGTTAGCTTTAAAGTTTTAAACTTTTTGTCTTGTTTTTGTTACAGTGTGACTCATCATATATCATAGGATTTTATGGGGCGTTTTTTGTAGAAAACAGGATTTCAATTTGTACGGAATTCATGGATGGTGAGTCTTCTTTTTAAAACTTTTTAAAAATGATTTTTGGAGTAGACTGCTTTAAAGCTCAGTTTGATTGTCCCCTTTACACCCTAAAAATTATCATATAGTTAAGGTTCCTAGTGTTAAATATTTATAGCTGCACTATAATTTCAAGAATGTAAGTTCGTTTCCTTTTATTGGGAATTTAAATAGAACAGATTCAATGCTAGTCTAATCAGTGGTTTGATATTTGCTGCTTGTGTGCAATCTGCCCTTACTTGTAAAACAGATGTTCTCTTCTTTTAATGTTTCAATAGCCAAAGCAGATTTTCTTTTAAAGAAATCTATTAACCCAATGTCCTGTGTCTTTCAGAGAGAAATAGGTTCTTAATTGCAAGATAAGAACTTGTTTTTCAACACAGCCATTTAGCAGAGATGTGTTTGGCTTTCTTTGGACTTCAGTCCTTTCCATTCTGCTCCTTGCTATTTTGGTGGCACTTTCTTCATCTGAATATTGTGACAAAATACAGATCTCTGGGAATCATGTCAGTGAAATGTTGTCATTATTATTACTTACTCACTTTAAATCCAGACAGTTTTTACATTTTACATGGTCAGTTTTTCAGTATCTAATCTGCATTGCATTTTATATATACCTTCACACACACACACACACACACACACACAGACACTTTAGCTCTGTGGGTATTCTTGGATGTTACTAAAACAATTAGTTCATTCCCTGAAAACTTTCAGTGAGCCATTATTGATACTTTGGTTTTAAAATCTGTGTATAATATATTCTAAATTAGTTCTAGATGTCAAGGACTTGAAATCTTACAGCCATAGAGGTAGCATAGGTAGAGACTGAATAGAAAGGGGGATTCAGAATGCCTATACATGTTAACTCTTCTAAACTTTCATCATTTGAAAACTTGATAATTTTTTTAGTTATATTAAAATATTTCTTATTAAGATAGAATTCAGATACCATAAAATTTAAAGCACACAGTTTATCATTATTGTTGAATTTCAAAGCATTCTAGGAAGAAACCCCTGCCATCATAAGTTGCTCATCAGCCCCCTTCCCTCTAGGCCCCAGCAACCATGGACTCCTTCCTGCCTTGTGAATTTGCCCATTCTGGACATTTCACATAAACCAAGTCTTCAGTCTGTTGCCTGTATGCCCAGCCTCTTTCACTTAGTGTCACATTTCCAGGGTTCATCCTAACTGCAGCGTGTAGCAGTCTTCCATTCCTTTTCACCACTGAATACTGTTTCATTGTATGGCCGTGCAGCATCTCTTTATTTTGTTCTTTAGTTGATGGTTACTTGGGATATTTCCACTTCTTTCTTTTACATGAAAAAAACTAATTTATTTTGTATGTGGGGGGAGGAGGGGCTTACCACATGCTTATGGAGGCCAGAGGACAATTGGATCCCAGGGATTAAATTCAGTTCATCAGATGTGGCAGCAAGTGTTTTTACCCACTGAGCCATCCCAATGGCCTGGAATAGTTCCACTTTGGGCCAGTTATGAGTAATGCTACTGGATACATTGTAGCAGGTCATTGTCTGTACATGTGATGTCAGTTGTTTTGGGTTTATGTCTAGCAGTAGAATTGCTAGGTCATATTGTAACTGCTGAACTGTTTTAGTCTTATACAATTTTGTATTCACACTAACATTGTACGAGAGTTATAATTTCTCTATACCTTTGCCAACACTTACTATGTTCTTTTCAAGCTGTAAAGTGTGAAAATGCTCCTTCATTTGGTTTTGATTTGGATTTCCTTTACAGTTACTGTTGCTTAACATCATTTCACGTGGCTATTGGCTATTTGTATATCTTCTTTTGAGAAATATGTACTCAAATCCTTTGTCCTTTAAAAAACTTTTAATTATTATTTTTATTTCTTATGTATGAGTGTATTGCCTGCATGTATGTAAGTGTACCCATGTCATGCAATGCCTGAGGAGGTCAGAAGAGGGTGTTGGATCCCCTAGAACTGGAGTTCAAATGGTTGTTAGCCATCATGTGGGTGCTGGGAACCAAACCCAGGTCCTCTGCAAGGGCAACCAGTGTTCTTAACCACTGAGCCATCTCTCCAGCTCCCCTCTATCCAGTTTTTAATGGGTAATGGGTATTTATA